CTTTCAGTAATTGGCATATTTTTTGTATAAAAATCGGAATTTCAAACTGCGAATACGTGCAGAGAGCTAGAAATTGGGTCCAAAATATGGCTTAGGTATCGAATTTGGGATGTTTGGGATATTTTGAAAACTGCAGGGGGGTTTGGGCAAAATGTGACCCACCGCCGCTTTCAGTAATTGGCATATTTTTTGTATAAAAATCGGAATTTCAAACTGCGAATAGGTGCAGAGAGCCAGAATTTGGGTCCAAAATATGGCTCGGGTATCGAATTTGGGATGTTTGGGATATTTTGAAAACTGCAGGGGGGTTTGGCGAAAATGTAACCCACCGCCGCTTTCAGTAATTGGCATATTTTCGGTATAAATAGTCGGAATTTCAAACTGCGAATAGGTGCAGAGAGCCAGATTTTGGGTCCAAAATATGGCTCAGGTATCGAATTTGGGATGTTTGGGATATTTTGAAAACTGCAGGGGGGTTTGGGCAAAATGTGACCCACCGCCTCTTTCAGTAATTGGCATATTTTTTGTATAGAAAAAAGGTATTTCAAACTGCGAATAGGTGCAGAGAGCCAGAATTTGAGTACAAAAGATGGTTCAGGTATCGAATTTGGGTTGCTTGGGATATTTTGAAAACTGCAGGGGGGTTTGGGCAAAATGTGACCCACCGCCGCTTTCAGTAATTGGCATATTTTCGGTATAAAAATTCGGAATTTCAAACTGCGAATACGTGCAGAGAGCTAGAAATTGGGTCCAAAATATGGCTCAGGTATCGGATTTGGGATGTTTTGGATATTTTGAAAACTGCAGGGGGGTTTGGGCAAAATGTGACCCACCGCCGCTTTCAGTAATTGGCATATTTTCGGTATAAAATGTCGGAATTTCAAACTGCGAATACGTGCAGAGAGCCAGAATTTGGCTCCAAAATATGTCTCAGGTAACGGATTTTGGGATGTTTGTTTGGGGTTATGGCGGGCTACTGGGTGTTATGGCGGTGTTACCGGGGTGTATAGCGGTGTTACCGGGGTTTATGGCGGTGTTACCGGGGTTTATGGCGGGATACCGGGGGTTATGGCGGGCTACCGGGGGTTATGGCGGGCTACCGGGGGTTATGGCGGGCTACCGGGTGTTATTTCACCCGGTAGCCCGCCATAACACCCAGTAAGACCGCCATAACACCCGGTAGCCCGCGGTAACACCGCCATAACAACCGGGAGCCCGCTATAACACCGGGTAACACCACCATAACACCCGGTAGCCAAAATAACACCGGGTAACACCACCATAACACTCAGTAACACCGCCATAACACCAGGTAGCCCGCCATATCACCCGGTAACACCGCCATAACACCCAGTAACACCGCCATAACACCCGGTAGCCAGCCATAACACCCAGTTGCCCGCCATAACACACTGTAGCCTTAAATAACATCCAGTAACACCGTCATAATACCCGGTAGCCAGCTATAACACCGGGTAACACCACCATAACACCCAGTAACACCGCTATAACACCCGGTAGCCCGTCATAACACCCGTTAGCCCGCCATATCACCGGTAACACCGCCATAATACCCAGTAGCCCGCCATAACACCCAGTAGCCCGCCATAACACCCAGTAGCCAACCATAACACCCGGTAGCCCGCCATAACACCCAGTAGCCAACCATAACACCCAGTAGCCCGTAATAACACCCGGTAGCCCGTAATAACACCCGGTAGCCCGCTATAACACCCGGTAGCCAGCTATAACACCGGGTAACACCACCATAACACCCAGTAGCCCGCTATAACACCCGGTAGCCAGCTATAACACCGGGTAACACCACCATAACACCCAGTAGCCCGCCATAACACCCGGTAGCCCGCCATAACACCCGGTAGCCCGCCATAACACCCGGTAGCCCGCCATAACACCCAGTAGCCCGCCATAACACCCAGTAGCCCGCCATAACACCCAGTAGCCCGCCATAACACCCAGTAGCCCGCCATAACACCCAGTAGCCCGCCATAACACCCAGTAGCCCGCCATAACACCCAGTAGCCCGCCATAACACCCAGTAGCCCGCCATAACACCCAGTAGCCCGCCATAACACCCGGTAACACCGCCATAACACCCAGTAGCCCGCCATAACACCCAGTAGCCCGCCATAACACCCGGTAACACCGCCATAACACCCAGTAGCCCGCCATAACACCCGGTAGCCCGCCATAACACCCAGTAGCCCGCCATAGCACCCAGTAGCCCGCCATAACACCCGGTAGCCCGCCATAACACCCAGTAGCCCGCCATAACACCCAGTAGCCCGCCATAGCACCCAGTAGCCCGCCATAGCACCCAGTAGCCCGCCATAACACCCAGTAGCCAGCCATAACACCCAGTAGCCCGCCATAACACCCAGTAGCCCGCCATAACACCCAGTAGCCCGCCATAACACCCAGTAGCCCGCCATAACACCCAGTAGCCCGCCATAACACCCAGTAGCCCGCCATAACACCCGGTAACACCGCCAGAACACCCAGTAGCCCGCCATAACACCCAGTAGCCCGCCATAACACCCAGTAGCCCGCCATAACACCCGGTAGCCCGCCATAACACTCAGTAGCCCGCCATAACACCCAGTAGCCCGTCATAACACCCGGTAGCCCGCCATAACACCCGGTAGCCCGCCATAACACCCGGTAGCCCGCCATAACACCCGGTAGCCCGCCATAACACCCGGTAGCCCGCCATAACACCCGGTAGCCCGCCATAACACCCGGTAGCCCGCCATAACACCCGGTAGCCCGCCATAACACCCGGTAGCCCCCCATAACACCCAGTAGCCCGCCATAACACCCAGTAGCCCGTCATAACACCCGGTAGCCCGCCATAACACCCGGTAGCCCGCCATAACACCCGGTAGCCCGCCATAACACCCGGTAGCCCGCCATAGCAAACAGTAGCCCGCTATAACACCCAGTAGCCCGCCATAACACCCAGTAGCCAGCCATAACACCCAGTAGCCAGCCATAACACCCAGTAGCCCGCCATAACACCCTGTAGCCCTCCATAACACCCTGTAGCCCTCCATAACACCCAGTAGCCCGCCATAACACCCAGTAGCCCGTAATAACACCCAGTAGCCCGTAATAACACCCAGTAGCCCGTAACAATACCCGTTAGCCCGCCATATCACCCGGTAACACCGCCATAACACCCAGTAGCCCGCCATAACACCCGGTAGCCCGCCATAGCACCCAGTAGCCCGTCACAATACCCGGTAGCCAGCCATAACACCCGGTAGCCCGCCATAGCACCCAGTAGCCCGTCACAATACCCGGTAGCCAGCCATAACACCCGGTAGCCAGCCCTAACTACCGGGTTCTGAGATGGTTGACCGGGTGGTAGTGTGAACTTCCAGCCGACGTCACGAGGACTAACATGGCGGGTAGCGACAGGCACAGACTGGCCACAACCTTCCCCAAGAATGTGAAGGTCACTTTATATCCATCTTATTCCTCTACGTTAAATATGCGATCGTTTTATTATGCAAGCGTTGCTAACTTTGCATAGGTTAATCCGATCGCCGGAACAGATACGGTCAGTGTATTACATTATTAAAGAAAGAAGTCATTCTTAGCAGACGATGAGTCGTGGCTGATGATATGACCTAATCACACACTAGAAGATGAAGAGACGACGACGTTTCGGTCCATCCTGAGTCGATTAGTCTTGTTGTTGTTATAGATTCAGCTACTCGGAACAAGATCCAAGTAGCACGGGCTATGTTGAGCCCGTAACTTACCTGGTACAGGAGCGGGGCAAGTAGCACGGGCTATGGTGAGCCCGTAACTTACCTGGCACAGGGCAACCCGTTCTCGCACTTTCTTACTGTCAATATTGACTTATTAAATACGTGCATATGTGACATACTAAACATACTAGTTTACCTTGAAAAGCTTCATAGAAAACACCGACCTTACCTAACCTTCTTAGTATGTTAAGATAAACATCTTATTGCTTCGTAATTACAATTATTACTTAACCTATACCTATAATTAGTCAAGTAATAATTGTAATTACGAAGCAATAAGATGCTTATCTTAACATACTAAGACGGTTAGGTAAGGTCGGTGTTTTCTATGAAGCTTTTCAAGGTAAACTAGTATGTTTAGTATGTCACATATGCATGTATTTAATAAGTCAATACTGACTATACGGAAGTGGGAGAACGAGTTGCACAGGAGTGGGGCAAGTAAGTAATTATCAAAAAAAGGCACCAAACAGTGGGGCAAGTAGCACGGGCTATGGTGAGCCCGTAGTGGACTTACCTGGCACAGGAGCGGTGCTGTGTGTGTGCCACAATGGGGCACATTTTAGTTGTGATGCCCGGACAAGGAATAGGCTAAGCGTAATAACTCCAAATTCATCCGAGACTTCCTCCAGGGGGTGTCGGACCAACCTGGTATATGTGGGCAGAAGCTTTCAAGAGGAAATTCAAGTTCCTGATGGAATTACTGTATCAGCCTGGCTGATACAGTAGACCAGGTGATTGTCAGACCAGGCAATCACCAGGGAAGGCTGGTCTCAGACCTGGCTTGAAAGATTAAGTAACTTGTCCCGCTGAGGAGTAAAATTTATATTATTTAAGAACTCGAAATTGTGCAGAGGAATTCGCGGGACAATGTTTTAATATATATATATATATATATATATATATATATATATATATATATATATATATATATATATATATATATATATATATATATATATATATATATATATATATATTATATTTATATATTTATTAAAACATGGTTAATTATTTTAATTAACCATGGTAGTGTATTGACAACTCCACAATGAAATGTAGAGGAGTGCTGGCCGCATTCTCCACTCTACCTGAATGCTGATGGTGGTGATTGAATTTTATAACCTCCGCAATGTATTTATATTGGTGCATTATGGCATAAATCATTAATAGAACGGAAATCAATTTATGGTTATCTTTCAGATGACGATGACGGGGGTAGAGCCAGACCATCAGCAGCACGTTTCAGCATCAGTCATGGGGGACGACAACGCGTTCTTGACCCGACACAGCAGATGCAGCTCCAGCAGCATGGAGGAGGAGGAGGAGGGGGGTCAGCAGCAGTCACAGCAGCAGGAGGCAGGGGCGGAGCAGCTCACTTACAGCAGAATGGCCCACCTGCTGGCTGTGTACCAAAACAAGGTACACTCACCCCCAGCATGCTGTGTGCAGCCTTAGCCGCGCGCTATCTCAGTCATGTCAGCTTAGAGCTTACTATTTTGAGGCTCTTATAGTTTTGTGTGTGTGTGTTTATCTCTCAACCGCTCACTGCATGTTTGTAAGATTTTTAGGGTAAGGGATTATTTAGGTTCGTGAACGAACGAAGTTTTCTTTTATTTAATTTTTGCCAGCTTTGGGCAAGGGGATATTGAACTCTGAACTGCCTTAGGTGGTTGTGTAAACCCATCTTCTCTCTCTGACTGTCACCCCCTCCCCCAACCACTACACAACCACCAATGCACGCACTTAGATAATTACACGCACACGCCCACTCCCATGCAGTATATATATATATATATAAACCTCATTACCCACCTAACACAAGTTACAGCCCCGCTCCTGTGCCAGGTAAGTCTACTACGGGCTCACCATACCCCGTGCTACATGGACATTTTGTTCTGAGTAGTTAAATCTAAAAAACAACAACCCACCTAATTGACTGATTGATGAAGATTAAGCCACCCAAGAGGTAGCACGGGCATGAATAGGCCTCAAGTTACCCACCTAACTCGCATCCATATCCCAACCTACCCACCAACCACCTACCTACTCCACACTTACCCACTATAGTCTCCAGTATACATGTCATCCACCCACCAAAGCCAGGTTATCCATATATACACACCCCTTGAGGTAGTTACCTTAAGGTGATCTCGGGGCTTAGCGACCCCGCGGCCCGTTCGTCGACCAGGCCTCCTCGTTGCTGGACTGGTCAACCACTTAGCATATGCCCACATCACCTGCACCCCGAACCCCAGAACCCCATCACATCACCTACTTCTCAGACCCAACCTACCATATGCCTATATACCCACAAACACAACACGCACTTAGTGCGTGTTTGAAACCCACAAACCACCCACATCATTACCCCACACACCCACCAACCACACAATTATTGTCCCCCACCCACCATGCACCACTCAATATTTTTTATTTTGTGGCATATGCCTCTCTTTGAAACCACAAGTCTTCTTCAGGCTACTTTAAACAAAAAAATATATAAATTTATAATATACGTACATATTATAATGTACATACATATAATGTATTTAATATTTTGTTTTATTGTAGGTCCGGGACAGTAAGAGGATCATTTCAAGATTAAAACGACAAAAAGATGCCCAATTGCAAGCTGTGATAAGTCAGTTGTTATTATTGGAAGCACATCTTCGACGAGAGCAGAAAGGAATTGTTGGGCAGCTGGCTCAACGTGATCATGTCATATCTGCTCAAAGACAGGAGATTGATCGCCTGAGAAGAGATAATAGGCGATTAATAAACAAACTTAAAAAGTTTAACGAGGTCTGCACGGATGCTGGAGGAGATGTGGAACGTTTAGAACCAAGAGTAAAAATCAGCAGAGTTGAACCTTCAGAGGAGCGTACCTTATCAAGCAGAAAAGGTCACAGCCAGTCTCTCGCGGGTTCCCCATCCAGCCGTAAATCATCATCTGGCATGATTCGGGTGGCTACTAGTGTCTCGGAACTAATAAACTGCAGCAATGGAACAAGTTTTTTTAAACCTCAACAAGCGCTTCATCATACAAACATTCGAAGCACTAATAGACAACCCACTGAAACTGTCAATCCAAATGTGGCTTCAGTCAGGGCTACAACAGACAGAGTGTTTCATAAACCACCTATTGCTGAAAAGCCCAGGGTTGCCAGTCGTGTTCCGCGAGGACAACAGAATAATCAGAAAAGTCAACACTTGGTTAGAAGTTACGGTGGAAAACAATGTACAATTGTTTCCACCATCAGTCGTCTCCTGGAAGAAGAATCCGACACAACAACAACAGGTGGCTCATGCAGTAGTGAACCCTCATCTCCCGAAGCCACCCTGAAACCAACAACTCCACGGGTTATACGCTTGGCAAGAAAGTTTGAAGAAGGCCTTAATTCACAAAACTTAGCTCCTTATGCTAATAACTCATCCAGTGAATCATCTCCTGAGTTGGTGAGACAAGATGATCGCAGTTCGAAATCTTATATCATGGATGAATATGAAGTAAGTTTTATGACAAAACTTTAAAAATTATGTTATTACAAGAGAGCATTAAGAATGTGTGTATGAAAGAAGATAAATGTTAGTAATCATTGTGTTAACAACAGTTCATTATGTGCATTATTTCAAGATATGGATTTAAAATGTTTATACTGTATATTTGTTGCCATAGCATGGTAAGCAAAATTCTTAAATTAGTCATATCTTCATAATACAGTAGTTCATAGATACCTACTTTTTTAATTTATTGTGAACAAATTACTGTACAGAAGTTTAAGATCATGTTGGCATACTTTCTTGATTTGCATTACATGATGTACAGTAGACTACTTTCGTGATGACCAAATTTCATCATCATAATAAGATAATGGAGCTTAATTTAATTTTAACTTTCAGGTGACTAGTGGTTATAACAGTGAGTCTGTGAGTGAACATGAATATGAAAATGTTCGTGTGCTGACTCAGGGAAGTGACGTTAGCCCTTCCACCAAGCCTGTAAAGCAAGAGGAAGGTGAGGAAGAGGGGGAGGAAGAGGACAATTATGTTATCCTCAGAGCTGTGAAAGAGAATGCTGATGCTGGAAATTGGGTAAGTCTGGTTTTTAAATTGACAATGTTACATAAAAACAAATTCCTAAGTCATAAATCACGCTGAAAGTTAATTTTGGTTGTCTGGGACAGAAAGCCTGTACTAAAGCTTATCAAAGTCCACCTAGACCAACTACTGACCATCCCCAAGAAGGTCAGTAGTTGGACATTTAAGAACAGGACATCTCTGACCAAAACCGAAGATTACGAAAAGACATGTACTAGCAGAACGAGCACCAGGCAATCTCATGCTGCCATCATGAAGAAAGGTGCAGGTGTGATATCAACAAGCCAGCCTCTTGCATGCCATACAAATGGTGGTAGACATATATCAAACCTCTGGAGATGTAAAGCAGAGAAGATCAAACTCAGTGAGGTACAAAGTTTGTAACAAAAGACAACTGTATACAGTACTGTGTAATGATTTCTAATAGTGAATATTTAGTTGTTGATTCACTATGGCACAGTACTGCACCAGATCAGCACTGTGACTTTATTTTTACTATTCCTACTGTCCTTTGTATATGAAATTTTGATATGAAGTGATAGTGATAGAAAGAAGTGATAGAAAGTGATCTTTCTATCACTTCTAATAAAAAGAATATTTTTGGGGTGCATGCCATAATTACTTTTTTCTGGCATATGGTAGCAGCCATCATAAGTTTAACTGCAGCCAAGTGTTAAAGTACAGTACCTGTATGTGTACTGTCATTAATTCATTATTTTCTGAGAGCTATATCAATCCAGCCATCACCACGGGGCATGCTTCTCAAACAGTCCAATTCTACAGCTCTTGACTTTCTACACGTCCAGTGTCACTTCACATCTATACATAAGGGCTGTCTCTACCACTCCTTCATGCAGCCTTCTTGCTCTATCTACTCCTGGCTTGTTTTTCTAACAAGGGCTTTTATTGCACCAGTCACTCATTCCTTGACTCATCCTGTAAACTAATTGACCTCCACATAACATGAGTCCTAGCCAAGGAGGATTGACTGTTTGCCCATGTTCACCCCTGTTCATCCAGCAGGAATTGGAGTCCTAGTTGTAAAGCAACTGGCAGGTTATGTTCCAGGGAAAACTAGTAGGGTAAGTTCACCATGAGCTATGGGAAAAGAAAGCTACAAGTCTGCTAACAAGAGTCAGAAGTCATTTATTCCTGTAACTACCTGTGAAAAAACAAAATGTTTTTCACCCACATAACCATACTTCTGTTCACATTCACTTTCAAGTCTTCTTTCTGTACTTCATGGTAATAAAATTAGTCTTCATAAATCTTGCTCTTGTTGAGAAAACTGTATCTTTCCATACAACAGTTCATACATACACTGTGAGTCACATAGTTCTTGTTCTCCAATTATTCATACAGTAACAGGCTAGGTAAGAGCTTTAGTTTGATTTCTCACCTATTAACTTGTATAAAATTTAAGTTAATTGCTTGACTTTTGTAATAAAAAAAATAAATAAAAATAACCGACCACTTGTGCTGACAAACAATGTTGCGTATGGATTTAAGACATTTAAACCAATAGAAAAATGATATAGAAAATGTTTCACTTATTAAAAGACAATAGTTTTCTTGATATTAAACTACAATGTATTGTAGTTTAAAGGAAATTTAAATGTTTACTGCATATGATATTTAAGTAAACCCACAATAACTGTTTTTCATGTTCCTTTTTCATTATAGGTCGATATCCCAGAAGATCAACATATCTACTCAAATGTGGAATTTGCATCTGGGTTACTAGTGAAGGATTTGGAAGATGAGGAAGACCCTATTATTAACCATGAAGACGACGATAAATTAGAACAAAACTCGACAAGCAGTGGGCATGGTGAAGAAGGCAAGGTGTTGGAAACTAACCTTGATTCTCTAGATTCATCTGTAGATGATGATAACTTGGTATGTCAAAATATTTTTGTATATTAACATGCTTGTTCAGAATTACGTTTTTACCTATAAATGGCTCGGCCAATTAAGGGGGCGTCTGGTTGGCATCTGGGTCCAAAAATGCAAAAATGAAAACTCATTCGATTTCAATCAAACTTTTTTGACAAGTTCTATATGAAAAGTGTTTCATCTGGTTCAAGTTTCAGCATTGTAGCATAAATAGGAAGGGAGAAAAAAAATATTGAAGTAGTTGTGAAAATTATGCAAAAATGGTCAAAATCGATTATCAATCAAAAGTGTCAACTGAAATCATAACTACAACTCTTTGCTATCACAATAGCATATATTAAACAAATATTATTATTAGTTTAATTGGAAAAAAATTTTAAGGAAAAAAAAAAAAAAAAGATTTTTTTTTTTTTTTTTTTTTTTTTATTTTTTTTTTTTCATTTTTTTTTGGGGCGATTTGCATCAAACTTACACACCTGACTGTACGTAAGCCTATCTGTAAGGATGCCAATTTTGGAGAAAATTGGTTGATGTCAACCCCAGCCACAGATTTTAGAACCTTAGACTTTATTCATTTCTGTTTTTTTTCAATTGACACAAACGTTTACAAAACTCATTCTTTTTTTATTCAATTTACATGAAACTTACACAGTATATGTGGAGGGCATGTCTCTACATTGGGGGGCTTTCATTTTTCCCTAAGTTCATTTATTGATTTTATAATAGCAATAAACATGCCATATTTGCAAAAAAATTTTGGGGAACTTTGAACATTTGTATTAGGAAAACTAAAGATGTTTTGGAAATTCTAAATCCCCAAATCCTTTATTATATGCTAATGTGTCAGAAAAGTGTCACAGAATAATTTTATCTGAAACGTGTGTTCTGAAGTGTGGACTTGAAAATGTGTAAAAAACGTTCAAAAAAAAAAAAAAAAAAAAAAACTCCCTTTCTATTTACGCTGCAGTACTGAAACTTGGGACAATTTAAGCACTTTTCATATACAACTAGAAAAATAATATTGGTTGACATTGAACAACTTTCATTATAATAACCAGACGCCCCCTTAAAAGTCCTACAGTGTAGTTAGCATGATAAAAATAGCTCACAAAACATATAAAAATCCTAACAATTTGAGTACAGGAGCTAATTACAGATAGCAATAAAACCTATCTTAAATAATGTAACAATACTACTTAGAATAAAGGTTAAAACATTGTATGTACTGTACTTTTGTTCATTAAATTTGTTCATTAAAACATGCGTATTCCTTTATCATGGCAGTTGTCGGAGAGTTTACGGGCAGCCATGAATGTGCCGCGATCACGCCATAATATCAACTTCATCATAGAGTCAGATGGAGATCACATGACGGAGAACTTTGAAGAATTTACACTAGATTCTCTAGAACTAGAAGGAGATCACGAGGATGAAGACAGAGGAAGAGGAAAGGAGAACTTGCCAATTTCGGAACAAAGGCGGTGTGGAGATGGGGCAGAAACAAAGGTTTGAATGCATATTTTTTTAAATTATTTTCTGCATTGTTATATAAATTACTAATTATCAGGCTTTTATTAATAACTTCTTCCATCATTAATTCTAATATATTAAGAACTGGTGATGAACACACAAAATATTACTTTATGTAAAATAAATATTTTTAAGTAAAATCTAAAAAGTGAATATAATCTTAAATGTGAAACATATCTAAACTATTAAAAAACAAATATGCCATCATCATTATTGCCCTCATTATCTTCATTCACAGGCTCTATGGAAGGGTTTAGTTAGGTGAATAAACTTTAGAGCAGTGTAGTGAAAATGTCAATCATACTGAAAATTACATCCACCCATTCATCATCTCTCAACACTGAACACCATCAGATAGAATTAGCTGTCACACTTGACCAAAACATCTACAGCAACGTCCCCTACTGTTACTGCTACATATGATAGGCAGAAAGAGCTTCTTTATCCTACATATAAATACACAATATTTCTCAACTTTAATTTTTCTATTAACATTTTTATTTACTTGCAGTTGGAGAGTAAGAACAAAGAAGAAAGTAAACTTGATCTCAGTGTTAATAGTGGATCTGCCAGCATTGTTATGATGGGTAGTGGACAATATGAAAAGTTTTTAGAAGCAACAGGACTTAGTCAAAAGTCTATATTAACCCCTACTCGCATGTTCTCTAACCACAGGTATGATTAATGCTCATTTCTGTATCTCTTATATCCTGTTGCATATTATGTACAATTTTTCTGTATGTGAGTGTGAGGCCTTGTGTATACTGGGGAGTGTAGCAGCGAGTGAGCGAGTTTGTGAGCAACTGAGTGTGTTTTGCTAAGAATGGAATTTTAGAAGTCTCTGAAACCAATTTTACATTTGATTTGCATGGTTTTGGCAGGAATATAATCCCTGTAAAAATTAAGGGCCCAGTTGTATATTGGTTTCAATTCATTCCTCAGGTCCGTCTTGAAACCAAGAGATGTTAAGCATCGTAACAAGTTGCGTGCAGCGTTCACCACACTTTCCACGTTAGAGGAAACTCCAAGCTCTGGAGGAGGCTACAGATACTGGACAGAACCGTACCTCTAGTGTCTACCTCATATCTGATGCACTGCAAGATTAGCTATGATGGGTCTTAACTATGTGGTGAGAGTAATTTTTCCAAGCATTAATAGGAAAATTTGGTTTATGGAACTGTAGTGTAAGGCTCACAGTAGCTTGTTTTGTAGTGTAGTTCTCGGATTCAAGGCTTATCATTACCACTGTACAGTATTTCATAGTAATAAGAGGTGGATTTTGTATACTTTTCCTCACTTGATTTTCTGCTTTACTTTTGTTACATTACAAAATATTTATAACAGTAGCAGTATAATAATATTGCCACATGCTGAAAATACATATAATGCAATTTTTCTATTAAAAGTTCTTAATTTTACATAACATTTTCATATATTTAGTGACAAATTGATTTCAAAATTCTACAATTGGTCATTAAAATCAAATGGATGTTGGCAATGGTTTGTTTAAATTTTGTATTTGTACAATAAACTCTCATATATTAAAGTACTTATGTAACAAGATATTAATTTCACAATGTCAAAATTCATTTAAGCAAAATCAAGATAAGTCTACAAAGTCCATATACACTTTACAAATACTTGTAAAATTGTAGTCTTTAATAAGTTCCTAAATTTATTACATTTGTTATTATTCTCTCCAGTTTGAAAGATTTATGTACAAGGCCAATCTCCTTATTAAATTCTGACTGGAGTTGACTGGACTCTTTACATTGTCCTTAAAACCTGATGGTAAAGAGTAGCTTGAAAGGATTGATCATGCTAGAAATGTTCCACACACTAATTGTTATTGGATACTGCTTTTAAGAATTGCTGTTGGGCTCCCATTGTATTATTAATATTACACTCGGCACTCCAAAATATTAGATCACTCACTGTCTCCAAATATATACATTAAATATGTCGCCATCCAAATTTATGTTGCTCATCACCCTTTCCCCTGAAATTGATGTTTCACACCTACAGTTTCCATATTGTTGAATTATGTCATCCAAAGTGCATATTGCACACTATCTTTGCAAAAATTATTGAAATCTTTCCTCATCCCCTTTCCATAAGAAAGGCAAGGGAGCCGGTCGGCCGAGCGGACAGCACGCTGGAATTGTGATCCTGTGGTCCTGGGTTCGATCCCAGGCGCTGGCGAGAAACAATGGGCAGAGTTTCTTTCACCCTATGCCCCTGTTACCTAGCAGTAAAATAGGTACCTGGGTGTTAGTCAGCTGTCACAGGCTGCTTCCTGGGGGTGGAGGCCTGGTCGAAGACCGGGCCGCGGGGACACTAAAGCCCCGAAATCATCTCAAGATAACCCCCCTTCCCACTCAGGCCTGCATGGTGCACCTTTACTAAATATTTGTTGCATGTTGCTCAAACTACTTTGAAGTAGTACACTGCTCGTCTCACCTCCCACGCACAAAACATAAAATGTATGCATTCCATGAGGACTGTTGCTTAGGGTTCTTGATTGGACACTACATTAAAGAAATACTAATGGCTAGACAATGCATTTTAGTTTTGTCTGATTATTCATGACAGTTTAGGATATAGTATATACAGTACTCATTTTTGTTTTGTGCAGGACTCTTTAAGAGTAGAGAACAAACAGTATTCCTGAAAATACAGCCCACTGTACTGTTAAAAATGTCTTAATATTTGATACCTAGTACTGGACATTAATTTCATTTATCGATTTGTTTTACACCCAATTTTTTTTAAACAAAGTTTCTGTCATTTATGAGCATAATTTTAGTATTTTTTTATACGAGTTCATGATTTTCAAGTTTTATATGAAAAAAACTGGAGTTCTTAAGGTTTATAATCTAAAGGTATTAACATACAAGTTAATGCCTTTAAATTATTTGTTTACAAGGAATTTGTTATGCCTATGTAGGATTTGCTTCATAATTTGAAATATCTTGGAAAGAATTGGCCATTTGTATTTGTGCATTAGTGACATAATCATTATAATAATCTTCTCTTTAAACTAGGACCAGGATTTAAGCATTTACACATCCACAATGCATAAATGCTTGTGAATCCTTTCCCAGAAATGCCGAACTTGGTGTCTTGTCCATTTTTTTGGTATGATGCCTAATCCTCAATTTGTATACTGTATATCATATTAAACTTTGAGTAATTGAACAAATACTGCATAAACCTTCAACCTTCGGCAGAAAGTTGTATATGCAGACTCCTATCCACCTCAATTTCTAGACATTTCTTTACTTTCAAGTGTTAGCAAAATATTGCAATTTAAAATTTGTTACTAGTTTCTGCTTCCTCCCTCTAATGTCACTGGAGGTTTGTAGGAAAAGTGGAGCTAGTAAAGCACGAGAACTGTCTTTGTAGTGTACGTTCACATTTGTGAACATAATACTCACATTGACCAATCATTTTATTGGAATTTGAAAATGCTACCGATTTTTAATATTTGTATTAACTTTGGATTTAGAGTGTTACGGTATATGTAATAAATTATAGCTAGTCATGAATATACAGGGTTACCTTGTGGTGATTCCAAGGATCAACGTTTCCGCGTTGATCTCCCGAGACGAGATGATCTGGTTGGTAGCCTGGTCAGTGAGGCTTTTCAACACGGTCGCTCACAGCCTGATGTATAAATCACAGTCTGGTCGATTCAATTATTCACCCTATTGAAAGGCATAATAAATTCATTGTTATACATGCTATCATTAAATGGTTTGCAGTAATTAAAAGCACAACACAATTCATTAAGAGTACTCTGATATTTTACTAATGAATTGACTTGTTTTAAACAAAGTGGCAATTTCAGGTAATATTGTTCAGTTCGCCTACTGCACAAATAGTGGCTAAAAATGTGTGAAATGTATATCTCCTTTTATTCTAAATTGTCTACGACAAAAAAGACTTTGTGAATGAATTGGTTTGAATGTTTCGAAGTCATATCTATAAGCATTGTGAAAATGTAGCTTTGTGAAGGAAGATGAAAGGGGGAAAGAAGTTCTGATGTGTTTGATCATGCATTAGTCAAGAATCTGTACACCAGTTGATTCACAGTTGAGAAGCGAGACCAAAGAGCCAAAGCTCAACCCCTGCAAGCACAACTAGGTGAGCACAGGTTCAGTACTTCTTTGTTGCTCGAGATGAAACATTTCCACAGTCCTCTTAGCAAAGAAACCCAATACTACTGATATTGTATTTGAATATTATGGTTGCTAAACACCTGTGGGAGACATGCAGATGTAGTATTTTCTATTCTTATATATTTAATAATTTGGATTGATTTAAACATTGTACAACACTGTAACACCATATTAAAATTTGGGATAAAATCAGCACATAAAATTCTTTGTGTAAACGTCAAATTTTACTGCACTACAAGTGAAGCAACATCTCACTATCCAGTCTATCTAATACATATCAAACATAAGCTTTTGTACAAATTAAATGGAGAATAGTAAATTCTATTGTAGTAAACTAAGGAATATTGTTCTGGCAAGCTAGTCAGGGTGGGTAGTAAGGACACTTACTCAGTAATTCTTATCAACCAGAGATTATCCATTATTTGAAGAAAAAGAAATTGCTTTAATCTCATTTTTCATATATATATTTTTCAAGAATAGTTGACATTCCAGAGGACATAAGAATACTTACATATAAGCATATGCAAGTTGTAAATGCAACTATATCAAGTATACAGAAAATACAAATGTCTGTATTTTCTGTATAGTTTGGAGATGAAACCTGTGATTTTTGTTACATCCCAAATCAATATTTGTATTTTTTTAACACCTGTATGAAGTCTAAAATTAGCAGTACAGTATGTGTATTCAAGAGAATATGTGATATGGCAAATATAATGTAGAAAATCACACAGAGGTTCACAGCCCTATACTGTATGGTACTCATCCATGGTGCTGTGGTAGCTCATGCTAACTAAACATCCCTGACCTTGGTTCAGTACTCTCATTTTCTTAAAACTCTATGAAAGAACAGTATAATCAGCACAAGCCATTGTCATATATCCTCTGGTTCACAGTATCAAGTCACTTTTAAGACCCATCAAATTCATCACTTGTTTTCAGGAAGATGCTAACTAAATTTCCAAGATTTAACTGTTGTACCCATGTTACATTGTAACGCATCTTCATTTGATGATTATAAATTGTGTAAACAATGCAAGCTGTTGGGGCAATATATAAAAAAAAAAATATAAAAAAAGAGTATTACTAGTATCACACTAGTCTTAAGCAGTTTCCTTCAAGTATCTTTATTTGGTTTTCGTGTGTTACGAGCTTAGCACATCTCTGGAACTCTATTACTTATGCTCAAGTTTGGTAACTATGCCATATATATATTACTTGTAAGTTAATGAATATTTATGTTACACTAAGTGGTCCAAGGCTGCTGGCTTTATCTGTGAATCTGAGTAGCCAGTTTGTGTCTAACATATTTCCTATCTGTAACAATTTATGTCATTAACATTAAAAACTGTAAATAAAAAATTATCTGCATGCACTTGTGCTATGCAAAAATTCTTTGATATGCATATATTATAAATAAATGTTTAAATATTAATGGCTTTAAATTCCTTCATTAAAAATTAAGACATTTAATGTCATAAAAACTATTCAAATATTTCAGTAGAGGCGGAACTGTGCAGGTGGTTGTGGCCTATCAATTTGTGTGTGTGTAAAGATTCAATTTTACTTGGTGAAATATTTTTTAAGCTATTTTATGTGCAGAAGTTGGCAGTGTTGACCAGACCACACACAAGACAGTGAAGAGACAACGATATTTCGGTCCATCCTGGACCATTATCAAGTCGATTGTGAAGAGAGGAAGGAGGCAAAGGCAGTAAATAGGCAAAAAGAGAGGTGAGGGGAAGAAAAAAGCAAGGCAACAGGTATGGAAGGTAAGGTGTAATAAAGGGGGTAATAATAGGAATAAGAAAGGGATCGTAAGAGAAAACAAGAAAGAAAAAGAAAGATAAAAGGAAGGGTAGGCTTATGTTAGGTCACATTGGTTAGAAAGTTTAGAACATTTGAGAATATACTATGAAAGGGAAGAGTCAAAAGCAACAAAGCTAGGACTCTGGTTCATGTTGGGAAGGTTGTGTATCAGAGCCAATTCGACAAGACGGCATCTGTGTAGAGTAGAGGCAGGAAAGATTATTTTTGAAGACCAATCATTAGGATGATTAGAATCCCTAACATGACAGAAGAGAGCATTGTTTGTGACTGCAGACTTACTTCTTTTGTGTTCCTTAAGTCTGTCATTAAGTACACGGCCAGTTTCACCAAAGCATTGGAGAGGACAAGACAAACAGGCAATAGAGTGAACACCAGCAGCATTAGAAGTAGGAGGAGCAGTGTGAAATAGATTGCTATGAAGAGTGTTAGTTTGTCAAAAGGTGAGCTTTATGTCAAGAGGACAAAAGGTATTAGTAGAAGTTTTGAGTTCAGATATGAAGGGAAGGCAGAGCACAGTGCTACTAGTGATGGGAGCAGGTTTAGGATGAAAGAAATTTCGTTTAGCTTGAGAATAGGCACAGTTGATAAAATGTAAATAGTAACCAAGGTGAGAGAATGATTTGTATACAAGAGAAATTTCAGAATCAAGGAACTGAGGATGGTTGATGCATAAGCACGGGGAAGAGAGACGAGGACACTTCTTAACAGAAGGAGGATGGTAGGAAAAGTGAATGTACATTAATGCATGGGTTTGCAGAAGACAGAGAAAGAGAACCTGGACATAGCTGTGAACGAACGTCAAGAAAAGGAAGGAGCGAATTAGATTCCCATTCAACTTTGAAATGGATGGAAGGAGCCAGATTGTTAAGAGAGGAGTGAAAGGCTGGAAGGTCATGAGGCCATAAAGCAAAAATGTCATCAACATAGTGAGGCCAGAGAGGGGGACGAGTACCAGTAGAAGGAAGAACAGTTTCAAAGTATTCCCATGTAGAAATTGGCAAGAACAGAGGAGAGAGGGGAACCAATAGCGACACTGAAAGTTTGAGAGTAGTATTTACCGTTGAAAGAGGTAAGAGACAACACAGAGGCTAATGAGTTCGAGGAAAACGTCAGTGGGAAGCAGGAGAGGAAGAAGGCTCTCAGGTGCCTTCTAAGGAAAGAGAGAAAGTAATCAAGGCGGAACATTAGTAAACAGTCAACATCAAGACAAAGCATCTTACAGGAGGGCTGCAGGCACAGTCCTTCTATGAACTCCTGGGTGTGACAAAGGTGGGCAGGACAGAAAGTGCCAAGGTAAGGCGTCGAGAGTTTTAGCTAGCCCGGAGGCAAGAGGATAGCCGACAGAGCTCCTTAAAGAAATGATAGAATGAAGAGGAACACCAGGTTTATGAGCCTTAAGGAGAGCATAGAAATAAAGAAGAGAAGGGCAGATGACACAGAAATGTTTAATGAGATCGAAGTCAGGACAAAGACTAGAGAGCTGTCTTAGTTTGTTGTTGAAGGAAGTTTTAAGGCTATCTAAAGGGTTAGAAATAAGAAGGGCATATGTGTGGGAGTCAGAGAGCAAGACATCTGCATTCTGGAGGTAGTCCTCACAGTCAAGGACAACCACCGAATTGCCTTTGTTGGAAGGTAGGATAATAATAGAGTTGTTAAATTTCAGGGAGGCAAGGGCAAGCTGGAAGCGACGAGGAAGGTGGTGAATTTTAGAAAACAAGCTGTCAAGAAAGGGGATAAGGGCCCCTCTAAAGGCAGACAGGTCCAAAAGAGTACAATACTAGAGTTAGAATTGACAAACTTGTCAAAGGAACTAATGAGGTCAATGCCACAGTGCAGGCCAGGGGAAGTAGCAAAAGAAAGACCAAGTCCGATAAGTTCTTGCTGGTGCTTGGAAAGAGGGGAAGATGAAAGGCTGGTAACAGAGTCAGAGAGAGAGTATTTAGCTCAAGGACTGTTGGAAATCAGGCGTTGAAGTTTGTTGTGTAGTGTGGAGGAGTGGTGGGAAGAGGAGAGGAGAGGTATGCAGTGTCAAATACAATGGGAAATAGGATATTGCATAGATCAATGGGAAGAGAAGAAGACAGTGTTGATGTTGACGTACTGTTAGAAGAGCATCATCAACGTGCAAGGAGATGGAGTGAACAAGTTTTGGAAGAAGGCGGGCATGTTCAGGGAAAGGAGAGCTCAAAGTGTTGAAATGGAGAAAGTGAGATAACGAGAGAGGGAGAATTTGCTCTGCAAGACAGTCTTTAAGAAACCTGAGCTGGTTCTTTTGACGTTTGGCGGCAAGAAGGGAAAACTCAAAGGCGCAAAAAGGTTGCTCATTATCAAGTCGATTCTCTTCACAATCGATTTGATAACGGTCCAGGACGGACCGAAACGTCGTCGTCTCTTCATTTTCTAGTACAGTATGTGGTTTGGTCAACATTTTTCAGTCACGTTATTGGGACTTTAGATGACTATTCAGTCATCTGCAAGTTGGTGGTATTTCCAGAATGCAAAACATGCATCTCGGGCATTTGAGTTATTTGAAAAGCATTTTACAATTAATGTGGGGAAAAAAAGCCCCACCTGTTTTCAGTCCTACATTGTGGCTTGTTGATCTTTGAACCATTGTTTCTTGTTTGTGAGAAACTGGAATCTCACCTTTTGAAGATGTCTGGATCTGTAACAAAATAAACAATTTTCAATATTTTAAAATTTTGACGAGATCAGCCCTATCATGTCTGGTTTGCAGTGTTGTTAACCCTGTGATCCTCTACCCTTCCTGGTATAAGAGGTGACTTAGTTCTGGAATGATTTTGTTGCCCAGTGATGAATTTTCTCCAACGCAGTCACATCTTTCTGCCTTGAGTAGTGAAGGTCTTGTGTACTGAGGATCATGTGTAGTAAATATTGTGAGAAGTGATGATCCTGTGTAGCGAGGATCTAATAGATCCTCTATTAGTGGAGGCTAATAGATCAGCATTAAGTATTTTGTTCTCTCCTAATTCCATGTATGACTGGCCATCCTGTGAGGTGAGGATGTTGGATGAGCTTGTAGCTGGTTTTTGATCTACACTGTGTGGTCCTTTATACAGAATAGGGAAGCAGCACATTGCTGTGTATACCTAAACATGTTTAAAAATACATTGTTTGAGAGGAGTTTTGTAGAAACTGGTAAGAGTAATTATAATATAATGTTTCCATGATTCAGTGCTTACCTCTTGTGAAAATTGCTTAGAGTTGTTTAGTCAGAGTTGATTTGTTTTTTGTATTGAGGCTGGTATTTTCTAAATTGATTCCATGTACAGTATGTCTAACCATCCTGTGAGATGGGAGTATTAGATAAACTTATAGCTAGTTTTTTATCTACACTGTAATATTCCATATAGAATAGGGTAGCAGCACATTGCTGTGTATACCTAATCTTCTTAATAAAAAAAAATCAGTAATAAAGATTTTAAATTATAGTTTGTATTACAGTATTACAAATACAGTACTGTATTATCCTTATTAAATCATGTTGACCATGGATCATTAAGATCTCATGTTGATATGTAATACAAGTCATATTTCTTTTGAACTGCTAATCCATGCTAATCATTCATTAAATTGTGCATTATGTCTCAATTTTTCACTTCCTTGGATATACTGTACAGTACAAAAAGATAGGATAAAAATAAACCAGTAATATTTCTTTCATTATATTTTTCATTTAAATAACTGCATCAATATTTTTACAGCTGACAGGATTTGTTTTCCTATACAGGTGCATTATTTGTTAAAAAAAATTTGGTTTATTGTTACACACAATGGTGCTACATAGCCTTCCCAGCTTGGTGCCTTATTTTAATACTTACTGATTAAAAATTAAATAATAAATACATTTTATTCAGGAAAAGTACATACAGTTGATTTACAAACATAATGTTGGATTTATAGGCAGAGCTAGTACATACAATACCTAAAGCCACTAATACTCATAGCATTTCGGGCAAGGTGTGGGGGGAAAAAAACAGACTAAAACTTAATAGTAATCGGGATTAGGTATAAATTGTGTTGAAAGAAGGAATAAAAAATACAAAAAGGGGGTTAACATAGCATAAATCAGCAATTGCACATGTTAGTGAACAGCGTTGTTTAAAAAATAGCAAGACATGGGTTGACATTTAGGAGGTAAGTTAGGTTACATGGAGTTAATTAGGCAGTACTTGGTTTAACTCTTAAAATGGTTGAGAGAGGTACAGCCTTTGACATGATTCGGGAGGTCATTCCACATTCTGGGTCCCTTGATTTGTAGAGCACTTCTAGTTTGGTTACACACAGCCAAATTAAGTAACAGGAAGAGGTCTTGGACACATTTGTTCCATGCTAAATGTAGAGGAATCAGCTGAGTATTCCTCAAATAAAATAAGTTGCCTCAGCTTATAAGGTAAATAAAGTAAGCATTTCTCAAATAAGTAGCTGCCTCACCTCACTGCCTTACTGCTACATAGCCTTCCCGGCATGGTGCCTTCTTTTGATAATTACTTGTTCCACACCCAAATTGTATAACAGGAAGAGGTCTTGGACCCCTACTTCCCTCTCTTTTTTTTTAATAATCTATATAGTCATAATTATAGCTTTAAGTATTCAATGAATAAAGTTTGTGACATTTTTACCCTTCTCCTTACCTAACATCATTTGTGCAGCATATTTTTATTTTGTCTCACCCAGATTTAATTTCAAAATAAAACCAAACTAAATAAATTAGAAATGGGTATGTATAGCTAAGGTACACCCTTACTGCTAGGTGAACAGGGGCATTTGGTGATAGTAAATGATCCCATCAGGCAGGGCTTATCACCTTCTCTCATATTTCATGTTCACCAGTGTTTATTTACTTAATAACTACTGGTATAATATCTTGCTATTATAAAACTAATTCTACTATCATCAAACACATATTTACTTCAAGTTTCAAGCAGAGAATGCATATATAACTAACACGAAGGACTACTCCACTAGATTCACCAGCTATAATATTTTGGTCATGTTCCAATATCATAAATCGGTCTCAGTGTTATGTAGTAGAGAAAAAATGACTTATATCCAGTTTACGTAAAGCTAGGAGTGATCGAAACCACACTTAAATCCCGGAATGAACTTACGAAGGTTTTTCCACTTAGGGTAGTTAATTGAATACCGCCGTAGTCGCCACGAAGGCGCTAAGACGGAAAACGCTCTTAGCTAAGAGGAAAAACCTCTGTAGTAGTAGTACCTTCCTGAATAAAGTAAAAGTACCTTCCTGAATCCGGCCCCAGACGCCTACGCACTTGCCAATATGTTGTGTAATTAACAGAGATAAGCTAATAAAGCCTAAAATATTACATGCCTCCAGAAAGACAGAGCTATAATCGTTATTGTGAGTGCATCAAAGGAAATATATCATGTTGGAGACCAATGATATAGCAATTTTAATTTAAGTTTCGAGTCCCGCTCGGTCGAGAGAGATGGGGCGACTCTCGCCCCATCTATTGGAGATTCTGTCCACTAAAGACCCAAAGCTACTCAAACCTTCCTAGCATTACGTAAGCAATGAAGTAATATGGTATATTTACTCACTATAATGTGGATGCTGGATGCAGAAAATGAGAAAACATAATTTTACTCTGAAAAAATATCATTTCATAACAAAATAAGATGTAAATATGTAATATCAAAGGAAGTCGATGGTCCAAGCAACAATATCGTGGAGCGACTTATCCAAGATATATTGCTCTCTGGAAAGTGTTTGCTGGCATATCTGTACACAGTGATCCAGTCGCCGAACTTCTCTGCTCAAATTATCGCAAATTTAATTTATGATGTTAACAAGTAGAATGCGTATTTTTAATCAAATCTAACGATATTAACAAGTAGAATCCGTATTTTTAATCAAATCTAACATAACTACCCAGAAAACGTTAAAGATTATTTAAAAATACATGGTTGGAAGTTAAATCAACTCCATAGAACAATATTTTTGTTATAGATACTAATCGTTATTTGTTGGTATGCGTTCGCTACTTAAACTATTTATAATAATTTGGCCGCTAGCGGCCAAAAATCGTGCAAATTTCATAAGAACATAAGAACATAAGAACAAAGGTAACTGCAGAAGGCCTATTGGCCCATACGAGGCAGCTCCTATTCTATAACCACCCAATCCCACTCATATACTTGTCCAACCCGTGCTTGAAACAATCGAGGGACCCCACCTCCACAATGTTACGCGGCAATTGGTTCCACAAATCAACAACCCTGTTACTGAACCAGTATTTACCCAAGTCTTTCCTAAATCTAAACTTATCCAATTTATATCCATTGTTTCGTGTTCTGTCCTGTGTTGATACTTTTAATACCCTATTAATATCCCCCCGGTTATGTCCATTCATCCACTTGTAAACCTCTATCATGTCACCCCTAACTCTTCGCCTTTCCAGTGAATGCAACTTAAGCTTTGTTAATCTTTCTTCATATGAAAGATTTCTAATTTGGGGAATTAACTTAGTCATCCTACGCTGGACACGTTCAAGTGAATTTATATCCATTCTATAATATGGCGACCAAAACTGAACTGCATAATCTAAATGGGGCCTAACTAGAGCAAGATATAGCTTGAGAACCACACCAGGTGTCTTGTTACTAACGCTGCGATTAATAAATCCAAGTGTCCGATTTGCCTTATTACGAACATTTATGCATTGATCCTTTTGTTTTAAATTCTTACTAATCATAACTCCCAGATCCCTTTCGCAATCCGACTTCGCAATCACAACACCATCTAGCTCGTATCTTGTAACTCTATCATCATTACCTAACCTCAGAACTTTACATTTATCAGCATTAAACTGCATCTGCCAATCCTTTGACCATTTCAAAACCCTATCTAGATCAACTTGAAGTGATAGTGAGTCCTCCTCCGAATTAATTTCCCTACCGATTTTCGTATCATCGGCAAATTTGCAAATGTTGCTACTCAAACCTGAATCTAAATCATTTATATATATTATAAACAACAGAGGTCCCAGGACAGAGCCTTGAGGCACTCCACTTACAACATTTTCCCACTCTGACTTGATTCCATTTATACTAACTCTCTGTTTCCTTTGGTATAGCCATGCCCTAATCCAGCTTAATATAGCACCCCCAATACCATGAGACTCTATTTTTTTAATCAGTCTTTCATGTGGCACTGTATCAAAAGCTTTGCTAAAGTCAAGGTATACAACATCGCAATCCTTACCACTATCAACTGCCTCAACAATGCTAGAATAAAAAGATAACAAATTTGTTAAACATGAACGGCCATTTATAAAACCATGTTGCGACTCAATTATTAATTTATGTTTTTCAAGATGAAGACGAATTTTATTTGCTATTATAGATTCGAGTAACTTTCCCACAATAGACGTTAGGCTAATTGGTCGATAGTTAGACGCAAGTGATCTATCTCCTTTCTTAAAAACTGGTATCACATTAGCAACTTTCCAAAACTCTGGCACTCTGCCTGACTCTATTGATTTATTAAATATGGTTGACAGTGGGTCACAAAGCTCCTCTTTGCATTCTTTAAGCACCCTAGCAAACACTTCATCCGGCCCTGGGGATTTGTTTGGTTTGAGTTTTACTATTTGTTTAAGAACATCCTCCCTGGTAACTGCTAAACTCGTCAACCTGTCCTCGTCCCCACCCACATAGACTTGTTCGGCTGAAGGCATATTGTTAAGTTCCTCTTTAGTAAATACAGATACAAAATATTTATTAAAAATACTACTCATCTCTTCATCACTATCTGTTATTTGACCTGTCTCAGTTTTTAATGGACCTATCCTTTCCCTAGTCTTAGTACGATATAACTGAAAAAACCCTTTAGGATTTGTCTTTGCTTGCCCTGCTATGCGAACTTCATAGTTTCTTTTTGCTTTCCTTATCTCTTTTTTAACATTTCTAACCAGTTGTACGAATTCCTGTTCTAAAGTGACCTCCCCATTTTTAATCCTTTTGTACCAAGCTCTCTTTTTACCTATAAGGTTCTTCAAATTCTTTGTTATCCACTTTGGGTCATTAGTATACGATCTATTCAATTTGTATGGTATACTACGTTCCTGTGCTTTGATTAGAATATTCTTAAATAAGTTATATATTGAATCCACATCGAAATCCCCATTTAAGTCACCTATCGCTGGGTTCATGTCTCGCTCCAAGACCGGCCCACACCCCATACCCAAGCCTTTCCAATCAATTTGACCCAAAAAATTTCTTAGGCTATTAAAATCAGCTTTTCGAAAATCTGGCACTTTAACAGAATTTTCTCCTACTGGTCTATTCCATTCTATGCTAAATCTGATTTCTTTGTGATCACTGCTCCCTAGCTCACTCCCTATTTCGATGTCATTAATTTGCGTTTCCCTGTTAGTTAACACTAAATCTAAAATATTATTTTCCCGTGTTGGTTCCTTAATGTGTTGCGTAAGAAAGCAATCGTCAATTAATTCTAGAAAATCTTCTGCTTCACAATTCCCTGTTTTGTTCAACCAGTTTATTCCGCTAAAATTAAAGTCACCCATGACATAAATACTGTTAGATCTAGATGCTCTAGATATTTCATCCCATAGATGCTTTGCTTCCATTCTGTCTAAATTTGGTGGCCTATATATTACTCCTATTATAATATTATTAGCTTTTTCGTTTAATTCAATCCAAATAGTTTCTGTGTGTGGCTCTGTTTTGATTCCCTCTTTGAGACTACATTTCAAATTGTCCCTAACATATATGGCTACTCCACCTCCTCGTCTAATATATCTATCTGTGTGAAATAGTTTAAATCCATATATTTGATATTCAGCTAATAGTTCTCTATTTTCTACATTCATCCACGTTTCGGTAAGTGCAATAATATCTATTTTTTCTGTGCAGACAAGAGCATTTAATTCGTTAATTTTATTTCTTAGACTTCTACTGTTAGTGTAATATACCCTAAGTGAATTGTTATTTTGCGGACCTTCTCTTTCCCTGATCGTTTTGCCAATTCCTTTCTCCCACAAACACATACTTTTATTACCTCCTTCCTCCAAATCAATTCCCATACCTCTATCTACTAACAGTTTAAACCCAAACAAACACCTCTAACCACTTCTTCTAGCGAGTTCGCAACAGCAACAACCCCAGCTCTCGATAGATGCACCCCATCACGAGCATACATTTCATTTCTTCCATAGAAGTGTTCCCAGTTGTCTATGAAAGATATTGCATTTGATTTGCAATATCTTTCCAGCCGGCAATTGACACCAAGTGCCCTCGATATCCATTCATTTCCCACTCCCTTTCTTGGAAGAATGCCACATATGATCGGGATTCCTCCCTTGCTCCTAACTAACTCTATGGCTGTTTTATACCTCTGAATCAGTTCCTCACTCCTGACTCGACCAACATCATTTCCTCCCACGCTAATGCAAATAATGGGATTGTTCCCATTACCAGCCATAATATCATTCATGTTGTTTATAATATCACCAATGCCAGCTCCGGGATAGCAAACCCTTAACCTGTTCCCCCTATCTCTAGCACAAAACGTTCTATCCAAATACCTTATCTGGGAATCTCCCACAACTAATGTTTGCTTAGGTACTTCCTTTACTTTCTGAGGGGCCTGCGCTTCCTTTCTCTTCGTTGCTTTCCCTTTTGCGCGATCCACAGTCTCTCCACAGCACTCGTCCTCCAAAACGTCAAATGAATTTGAAGTTGCTATGGCGTTTGAAGGCGGCTTTATCAAAGTTTTTCGCCGCTACCGGCCAAAAATCGTGCGAATTTCGCCGCTAGCGGCCAAAAATCGCGCGATTTTCGCCGCTAGCGGCCAGAAACTATGCGATTTTTGCAGCTGGCGGCCGAAAATAGTGCGATTTTCGCCGCTACCGCCCAAAAACAGCGCGATTTTTGGCCGCTAGCGGCCAAAAACCATGCGATTTTCGCAGCTGGCGGGCAAAAA